GAGCACTACACGCTGGGGTCTGTTGGGGGGAAATAGGAGAGGGACAGTGGGGGTGGGGGAGTTGGGGAGAGATAACACAGGGAGAAACGCCAGATATAGGTGAAGGGGAGGAAGGTAGCAAATCACACTGCCACGAGTGTACCTATGCAACTATCTTGCATGTTCTTCACATGTAACCCAAAACTTAAAATGCGATTAAAAAAAAAAGAAAAAAAAGTGATCTAAACTTCCTTAGCTCGAATGTCAATTCCTCAATGCATAACTCTTCTGTGGCCTTCATGATGCCAACAGCTGTCAACATTCTAGTATTTGTCATCTCTCTGATGTTGCTTATTTCCTTGTATCTGGCAGTCTAGTTTAGTTGTTCTTCCTCTAACTTACTGGACAGGGACTCCTGGCTCCATGTCTCTAGGTTACTTAGCTTTTTCCCATGCAAATTGCATAGCTTGGTCATTTTGAACTTTAAAATGGGGTTCAGATAAAGCAAAAAGAATTAGGTTTAGTTTTATGATAAAATAGGCTTTTAAACAGTTTGATAAACTCCCATTTAGACTTTATTCGAAGAGGAGCCTGAGTTACCCTCACATGTTCACACTTGAGGGTCTTAATTCCCTGACATTTCCTTGGCATTAGAGACTGAGACTTAGACTTCACGGTCGTTTGGGTCCTCCTAGAGACTGAACTAGAGTTTTTCATGAAGAGCTGAATAATTTCTTTGCATGTTGATTATTTTCTTACAAGAGTCTTTTCAAGCATGATGTGGATATTACTGACAGTGGGTCATAATGGGTCTTGAGTCTGAAAGACTAGATTTCAAGGTATGGTTCTGCTGCTTTCTAGGTGTAAGATGAAAGCTCTTAGATCTGTATGAGTCCCTGTTTTTTTAATATATAAAACAACAATGCTGCTCTCCTAAGCATGTATAGTGATTAAACATTTACTGCTTGTTAGCTGCTGTAAAACAATTTTATAACAAAAGTTCTCACTATTACTGGACATCGATGAAAAGGTTTAAGGCTCTAGGGAGGCAGGGTTTTGAAAAAAAAAAAAAAAACTTCTCCCCCATATTAATGTTATCTGAGGTTAACTTAATTATTTTCTGTATACTTTCTCCTCCCCCAACCATTATCTTAATATTTATTCCCATTTCTGACACAATTAAAATAGTCATACTTTGATTCTGCAGGCCTTCATTGTCCATAAACACAGGAAATGGGTGGGGGGAGATGTTGCTGTGTAAAATAATTTAAGGAGGAGTATATCTGTGCAAAACAGAATACCAGAGGTCTCTGATAAATCTGAGTTTTTATATCATCCAGATAGTTCAAAGCACATTTTTTTCCCACTAAAATATCTGAAATCAAATACAGCAGAAACAACACAGGGGAACAATACTAACACCTGTCCTCATATTATTAGGTTCATTTAATTTAACTCGCATCTCTTGATGATGATGATAAGCGTGCTAGGCATTGTATTATGAGATAGAAATTATTCTCATGCTTTCTCTATAGGCAGTCACACTCCAGAGTCTCTACCTGAGATGTGTCTAGCACTATTGTTAGACTTGGAGATACAGAGATAGATAAGATTTAGCCATTACCCACAGGGGTCTTACAGTCCAAGAATACAGGGGTGCTGATTCCTTTACTATGAGACCATGTAGGAGGCTGCTGCAGGAGTAATTCACATACCAAGAATAGCAAAGAGGGGATGCAATTCTTGTCTGTTTTGGAGATCCAGAAGGAGATAGCAATTGGAAAGGATTTTGGAAATGAGGTCACATTTCCATTGCAGAAGAGACCGAGGGATGGTAAAAGAGGAATGGGCAGAACTGAAAGAATGAGAAATAGCTGAGCTGAAAAGGGTGGTCCTGAGGGCTAGTGCAGGGCCAGCAAGGCCAAGGTTGGAGAACTTGCAGGTGGACCAGGGAAGCATGCAGCCTGTGAGGGCTGAAGGAGGGCATGAGGTTTGGGCTCGAATGACCTTGGAGAGCAATTCTCTAAAAATGGCAGAGGGAAGAAATCCATGTTGTATTTGACTGAAGAGGTAGTAGAGATTGGGTGTTTAGAAGAACTTTTTGGTTAATCACAGAAGAAAAAGAAGTTGATTATTTAAAAGTTCATCAAGGGTATATGTACTTTGATTTGTAAGAAAGAAGAATTAATAGAGGAATAATGATATGGAGACATCAGAAGGGGCAAAAATGGAGAGGAGAGAATTTTTGAGCCCTAGAAGAAGTTGGTAAGAGGTGTTTTATTGTACTTTGCATGGTATTTGGATGTTAACTATAGACTGTATTGTGACGGAAAATATTTTGGGACCAGGCATAGTGGCTTACAAGTATAATCCCCGTTGTGAGAGGACCTCTTAAGGCCAGGAGTTCAAGATCAGCCTGGGCAACACAGCAAGACCCCATCTCCAAAATAAAAATTTAGCCAAGTGTGATGGTGCGTGCATGTAGTCACAGCTACTCAGAAGACCAAAGTGGGAGAATCACTGGAGCCCAGGAGTTTGAGGCTTCAGTGAGCTATGACTGCACCACTGCACTGGCAACGGAGTGAGACCTAGTCTCTTAAAGAAACACACACACGAATACAGACACATGCACAAATATATATTGGACAAAGATGCTTGGTGGTCCTCCATGTTCTTTCCCTTTAATACATGGTTCACTGAGATTTGCTGGAGCCAAGTATAAAAAAAAATGACTTAACAGGGTGTCCTGAGGCTTCATCCTGTACAATTGCCTTCTGCCTGCAGATGTTTCACTTTCTCCCAATTTCTCCTCATTGGCTCACCTTTGTCCACTCTACTTTCTTGATGCCTGACACTCTGGCCCCTGAATTGGTTGCTGTTGGCCCCTAGCTTTTTTTCTTTGTTCTCTTAGCATCCAGACCTGGACTGTTCAATTTTCTCTTGAAAGTAATGCAGGTGAATCAATCTGTAATGCTCCCTTTTCCTGGTGAGGCCAGACTGTTGCTTCATTATATCCTGTCCTTACAGTAGCCCCACTGTGCTTGGCCCAGTGGATGGGACTTTTCCTATGCTGTCCCAGTGGAATGTGTGGGATACAAAGGGACATGATAGATTGACACCAAAGGTCAAGGGAAAAGGAATAGAAATAATGAAAAAAGAATACAGTTGGAAGGACCGGCCCAGGATAGAGGAGAAACGGTTCATCCACAGAAACACAGCCCAAGGAAGCAGGGAAGGATGAAGATGCTGCAGGATGGAGAAAGGAAAAGTTGAGGGAATTCCTAGCAGGGGCCCCAGGCAGGCTATAGAAGGTCCCCAGGGAGAACCAGGTATAGGGGGAAAACCATTCAAATGAAAAGAAGCAGAGGCTCTTCTGGGCTTTCTAGAACAAGGGTGTCAGCCATCATCACCTGTGGCTGGTGGAGACTCAAAGGCAAGCAGGGGAATAGAACAGCTTTATTGTGTTGGAAGGGGTGGGGAGAGAAGAGGGAAGAGAGGTGGAGGATTCAGGTGTGCCCTGACTTGAGGCTCTTGGCACAGGAAGATGGAAATGGGCTAATATAGAAGCCAGATGTCCTATGTGATCAGAGTTGACTTTCACTGGTTGGTCCCAAGTTGGAGGCAGGGGGCAACACTTGGGGAAGTTGGCATTGATTAACTACCAACCATTTGGGGCCAGTGGCTCCAAAGTTGTGGCTTCCTGGACTGGTTTCTACAGATGGTGGGTCAGTGTTGTATTTTTCTATGTGGTCTGGACATTGTCCATTGACTGTTCAGCTACCCATGGGCTAGAGTTACAGTGATTGTGTTCATTATTCATGTGTACTATGTTTTGTAGGACACGCTTTGACTTGTGGCCTGGCCAGATTTGAGTTAGAACAGAGCTCCACATGATTCCAGCTGGCAGTATGCCAGTATACTGTGTTTCTACAGACTTTCACACATCCCTCTTCAGTGCCTTCTATACAGAAAACTGGGAACAATATTTTTATGGATGTTAACTTTTTTCGAAACATTAAAAATAACACTCAAAATGCTTGTCTTTTGTATTTACTCAAATAGAGTTCTCAACACAGCTCTGGCTTTCAAAGAAGCCTAATTACTTTCATATACCATGAACAGTCAATAGAGAATTGGGAAAAGTCATACCTATAAATTTATATTACTTGAGGGAGAATATTTGGTCTTAGAAATATTAATGCAGCCTTCCGTCTCATAGGAATTAGCTTTATTTGTGAAGTAGAATTTGATTGACTTTCTGACCCACCTAAGCATGTGGCCGGGGAGAAGTGCTTTTGCACATTGTACGGCTCTGAGTTCTTAATTCTAAAGATGTCAGCTTGGAGAAAGGGCAATTTGTTCCTAAAAGAGCTGCACCTGGGTATCTGTCTGCTTTGTTCATAGACGAGATCAATAGAATGGAGGAACAGTCAGACATGTTGTCAGACAATTATTTGGAATTGAGCCATTTCCAGTTAATATTGCAACTGTAATGTACTCCAAGAGTATTTTCTTCTAAATCATTAAGCTAGTTATTATTTTCATTGAGGAGCAAAAGTTGAAAGTTGCCCGTGTAGAAAGCCAAAATAGAGACCCCAAGGGCGGGAGGTAAAATCCTGGCTGTGAATGTTTTTCAACACTAAGTTCAAGTCTGTTATTGTTCTGGTAGAAAACCCAAATACCCTTCTTCAGTGATACGTGTGTAAGTGTAAATTACTGTGCCAGAGAAAATTATTATATGAGAAGTGTCAGGTCACCTGGGTTACTGCTGTTCTTCATAATATTGTTATACAATATCAATCTACGGTAATACTTTTTTGCAGGCTGGTTGGTGTCATAGGACAAAAAAGATCACCTTATTCGTTATCAAAAGCAGTCTTGCATGTGATGTTAAGGGTACAAAGTGAGAGAGTACAACTAAGTTTAACTAATAGAAGATTACATACTCAAGAGTGTGTGTCCTAGTCAAAGCAAAAATGTGGTTGCTGCCAACTGAATAAAAGGCCACATTTTCTCCCTAGAACTTGGAGAAAGGTCTTCAGGATACCCCAGTGATGGGCAAACTGCTCATTGTTCCTGTCTGCACCATCAATTTGAGGTCAAGCTTTGAGGTTGCTGCTGTTTACTTCTTTCATGCCAGGTACGGCCACTGGGACCTTTGCTATAAACATCAAGACAGTGCTATATCCCACGCACCATAAATCCTGCCAGGTGAGGGGCTGGAAGAGGACAAGATCTCATGGAAGCTCTACTCACTCTCTGCAGACTCAGGCTACTCTCCTCCTACCTCTGACACTTACCCTTCTTGAATAACCCAGCTCTGTTTCTTTTGGGACCCTATACAGCTGCCTAGAGGAAGGACTACATTTCTAATCCTGTTTCTAGGTGGGGTTGTATCATTAAATTCTGGCAAGTGAGAAGTGGTGGGTGCAACTTCTAGAGCATGTCATTAATGGTTGGAAGCCTGCCCTGCCTCCATCCTGCTGCCTGGGCAGTGAATGGCATGGCGGAATGCCATCTTGGGCCAGGAGAATAAGAACCATCACAGAGGTGGTAGAAGCGAATCTGAAAGCAGCCTGGGTTTTAGATGATCACAGTGCCAGTGGCCAGAGAAGTTCTGGTCTGCTGATTCTCAGGCTTAAATGAGCAAATAAAAACATGTCTGCTTACGCCACTATTATTTTTGTTTTTGCAGATAGTTATACCTGATTTCTAACAAATAGATGAGATAAACATTTTTTATTCTGCATCTCCTTTAGCAGCTCGGTAAATTATGTCATGGTGTATCTATGATTTTATATATTCTACCTAATTTTGATAGAATTTGGAGTTCAAAATGTTACAGGAATACACACAACTTCTAATTTGATGATATTTTGTTAAGATAAATCACTTTAACAGCTCCTCATCAAAGGGTATTTTTGAAATCTGATTCTCTGTTTCTTTTTTCCCCACCTTAAATTCTGGAACTCAGTGGAAGCTGTTTTGATAGGCACCATGTAACCCAAATGACTGCAGTATCCCAAATTAATTCCTGTTAATTCATTTTGGCATGGTAGGTAAATGCTCCCCAAACTCTCTCTTCTCCCAAAGCCACATGATTTGTGGGACTTCTGGAAATGTGTACTGTGAGGTAGAGCCAGACAATTCTCCTCCAAATAGCCCAAGTTAGAGTGTGTCAAAACTGAATAATTTCTGTACGGAAAGTGCCCTCTTCTGCAGTGTATTTGAATGAACAAACTAAAGATGAATCTCAGAAGCCTCATTTCATGTTCCTTGCTGCCATTTTCATCTTGTTTCATAGCGTAACGTATGGAGGAGCTACTAACTTTAGCGCTACACAACATGGGGAGGGCCTGATGAATGTACCTGGATTTTGAATTGTTTCCTGTAAGGATTAAGCTTCATATGCTGGTTATTATGTGTGTGTTGGAATTTTGTAGCAAGTGGATTCATAACAGCTTGGTGGCTGTTTTTCCTGTCAATATTCTTTGGGGACTTTGCTTGGAACTAGTGCCTGCTCTGGGGCTCCTTGCTGTCAAAATAATGTAAAAACCAAGGAAGGAAAATACATCTCAGTCTGTTAAGTCCGTCATCTTCCTCTAAGACTATCTCTAATTAGGTTCGAGAAATTTTGAGTAAAGAGAAGATGAGCCTCCAAGCTAGAGGGTCGTGATGTAGTTTAATGAGAGTGAGGGGAATTGGGAGGCAATTAGGGAGCAAAATCTTCTAGGGTCTGTAAAATGTCCATTTGATTTTTCAGAGTTGGCAAAAATGTATTTGTAATGGAAAATATGTTGTAGTTTGTGGGGTGCTATGCTTCTCCTTTATTCTTATCAGTGGACTTAGCTTTTCAGAAAGGTATTTAGGGATTTCATGACATTAGAGGTGAACATATTCTAACCCTGGGCTCACTGTAATTCAGGTAGAAACTAGACTACTGCTGACTTCCATGGGGTTAAGATGAACTTCTATGATGAAGCAATAGTATTTCCCTAATTCTGTCCATTTTGTCCCCCTGGCTGAATGCTTCTTGGAAATCATGCTAGTTTGCTTCCTCCTGGAAGCCTTCCCTGATTCCCTTAAGGCTTGACTAGGAGCCCTTTTCCTATCATGTGACCATATCCTGTGCTCTGTCCCTTTGTGTTTTAAGTCATCAGTTACTTGGCTGTGTCTTCCTAACTTGAGTGCAGGGTCTCTGCCTCATTCACACTTGGAGCTGTGGTACACCATGTGAGTGTGGGCTAAATATGTGTTGAATTAATGTATTTTTCTAGATGGACTTACTTTACTAACAGAATGAGAGTTTTTAGGCATGCACAGAGAAATTGAAAAATAAATATTTGTTGATTGGCTTTCCAGTGCTTAAGTAATTCCCTGCTGCAAGGCAGCCACCTCTAAAAAAGCTCATTAATGGTTTTGGATATTATTTATAACATGAAAACAGTTTTCTGAAAGTGCATATATATTATGCCCTGTTTCTTCGCAAGTGCATGGACTCCATGAAAAATAAAAAACACAAGAATAACATCCTATGAATTACTGGAAGAAACAGCATGTTGTCAGTTATTTTCTGCGGGTGCAGCATAAAAGTGGTGGGCAAGGAGGGGTTCTGGTTTTCTGCTGTGACAATTAGTGGCAGCATTTATAATAAGAATTTTGATTAACTTTAGAATTCATGAAGCAGAGAATTGAGTCTGAGTAGATGCCGTTTGAATTAGACCCTTGATGTCTGCTAAGGAGGTTTGATCTAAAGCATTCCACAGAGTTCCTCCCCTCTTGCAGACTTGAGCAAGAAAACTTTGGTTCATAATATTTAAAAAACCATTTACAATTTTAAATGGTTAGCTTATTAGAGAAAAAACATTTTGCAATTGATTTTTAAAGCTTCAAATTAAAAGAGGACTCCTTCCAACAGTCTTGGAGACATCACTGTTCACCTGTGCTAGCAAGCCCAGCAACTGAAGTTTGTAAATTTACCCAGAGTTGAAGAGGGTCAAGGCCACAGACTCATACTTACGTAATGCGTAAGAAGATGATAAATTAGAATGCCAATGTGTTCGTTCTCCAGGAGAAATATAGCTGCCAAGTTACATTCATGTTTGCTGGTCAGCACTTTCTCCAGTAAGAAGTCGAAGTGGCAAATTAAATTACAATAAAAAATATACTGCTTTGGTGAAGGTGTGGGGGAAAAAAATAGTATCATATGCTATTAATAGAAGTTTAAATTGCTACAACCTTCTGGGAGGGAAAACTAACAGTATCTCAAAAATGCGCATATCCTATGCTTTTGCCATTTTGCTCCTACAGAGTTACCTTAAAAATAAATCCCCCCATGTGGACAAAGCCATATGAAGAAGAGTGTTCCTTATAGCATAACTTGTATTTGCAAAGGATTAGAAGAAATCTAAATGTCAATTAAAGTGAACTGATCAAATACATGGACTGTGATGATGCTCAAAAGAAGGACGTAAATGTATATGTACTATGGAGAATGGTCTCGGGATATGTTATTCTGGGGAAAGTGAAGGAGAGAACTGTGTATAATGGGCTTAATCCCCATTGTATTAACTGGCAGGAATTCACACAAATACATGTGACTGATTCTGCAAAGTGTGTTTCTGAAGTGCAGGAAAGAAGTGTTTGGGCCCAGAAGGAAGACTCACCTTTCAATCTACATGCTTTGGATATATTTGAATGTATTCCCCTGTGCTTAGATTGGGCTATGCTTTTTTTTCCTCTTTATATATAAAAAGGTTAATTTAACATTCAAATAGTTTTTCTATTTAAATCTACCTAAATTAGTACCAAGAAAGGTGGTCTTGTTGCTGATGGTCTCCTACCTGGTAGAACCCATAGATCCCAAAGAGGAGTCTTTCTCAGGAGGATGTCTTTATCATTCTGTCTTGGACTCATGAGGTTATTGTCTCCCATATGTGCCATCATCATATTTATGACTGATTTTTCCTGGAGCTGAATGCTGATTTCTTAAACTTGGGAGACATTTGACTTTCATAAGCAACACATGTACAAGTCATTTCTTTGGGTAAGGTGTGTTTGGTGTAAATTACAATCCCTAGGCCAGGAATGATGGCTCACACCTGTAATCCCAACACTTTGGGAAGCTGAGGCAGGAAGATCACTGGAGCCTGGGAGGTTGAGGCTGCAGTGAGCCATAATCATGCTACTCTACTTCCTCCTGGACAACAGAGCAAGACCTTGTCTCAAAATAAATGAATTAAAAAATGATCACTAGAGGAATATGTCCAAATGCAGTCTTGGACCCCACCCCAGAGGTTCTGACTCAGTTGGTCTGGCATGGGCTCAGGGATCCCTAGCCTGAGAAGATTCGAATGCAGATGATCTGTATATCCTTCCCTCCCTCCCTTCTTTTCTCCCTTTCTCCTTCCCCTTTCTCTCCTTCACCTCTTTATTTCTTCCTTTGAGAATTTTAGAGAGTGGTATTTTTCACATACTGTACGTAGGTATCAGTCATTTGCATATTTGCTTCTCTTATTCATTACATATATTTTAAAGAAATCAGTAGTAAATTGTTGGTAAGTTTATTTGTTCTGTGTCAGTTGATCTTTAGTGTATGTAGGGAGAAAAAACAATGTAGGGAGAAAAAACAATGAAAATACAATCAAGTTCAGCTTTGAGAGAATGGCCCCTCTGAGTGTCCAGCTTTAACGAGACCCAGATTACTTTATGCATACTCATCTTAGCCTAAATCCTTCTTGGTCCATGTGGATGATGGAAGATGGTAATTTGTCTCTAAGAGCAAGGAGGAAAGAACATTTGGAGTTGAGTTATGGACAGCCGACCTTTGGTTTTAATCACAACTGCTTTTAAATGGTAATAGCTAGGGAAGAGGCATGACACAAGAGTGGTGGAAAGGAAAAAAAAAAGGAGAATGGGGATTATGTGATCTTTGGAGTTGGGCAGACTTGCCTCCTGATACAAATTTTACCCCAGCCTTAGGCTGTGTGATCTTCGACATAAGATGGAATTTCTTTGTGCCATGTCTGTGAAATCAGGGTAATAAGACCACCCATGTTACCATGTTCAGAGGATAAAAGAATATATGCATACCGCCTAGCACAGTGCCTGGCATTAGCAGAAGCTCAATAAATAGTAGTT